TCTAGGCCCGAAACGTCAGCCTCTCTGCTCCTGTGATGCTGCTTGGCCTGCTGTGTTCATCCAGCCCTGCACCTTGTTGTCAGAGATTTTTTTTTCCTCTGTTTGCACTACTGAAATAAGCTGGACTTATCTTTGTCTGTAGCCCTGAAGGAAGCATTATTTAATGTGTCTCTTACAGGGAGGACCACTGCTCCCATATCTGGGGTCAGCAGCTGCTGGTAATGGAAGTGCCATGGCCAATAGTGCTTGCAGATATCATTGAGCTATGTGCTGGCGATGGTGAACATATGGAGTATCTGGAGAAAAGGACAGGAAGGCAGAACACCAAAGACTCTCAACATAGACTACTAGTTTGAGCCTACCATTGGAGATCAGAGAGGAGGTGTAAATATTATTGAAGAAGACCTGGAGGGAGTGAGGAGATTCAAGCATCTGGGATCAGTTGAGGGAGAGATAAGAGTTTGGGGACAGAAACGTAAGCAATGTATTAGTTCTGGTTGGAATAAATGGAAGCATCTAGGACCAAAGGGCATAATCTCAGAATAAAGGGTGGAAATTTCACATTGACATGAGGAGGAATTTTTTCTCACAGAGGGTTGAGAGTCATAGAGCTGTACAGCACGGAAATGGACCCATCAGTCCAACACGTCCATGCCGGCCAGACATCCCAAACTAATCTAGTCCCATTTGCCAGCATTTGGCCCATGTCCCTCTAAACCCTTCCTATTCATGTACCCGTCCAGATGCCTTTTCAATGTCGTAACTGTACCAGCCTCCACCACTTCCTCTGGCAGCTCATTCCATACACGCACCACCATCTGTGTGAAAATGTTAATACTCAGGTCCCTTTTTAAATCTTTCACCTCTCACCTTGAACCTATGCCCTCTAGTTTTGGACTCCACTACCCTAGGAAGACGACCCTGGCTATTCACCCTATCCATGCCCCTCATGACCTCAGCCCCTGAAGCTCCAGGGAAAATAGCAACAGGCCTATTCAGTCTCCCTTATAGTTCAAACCCTCCAAACCCAGCAACATCCTTGTAAGTCTTTTCCAAACCCTTTCAAGTTTCACAACATCTTTCCTATAGCAGGGAGACCAGAACTGAATACAGTATTTCAAAAGTGGCCTCACCAACGTCCTGCACAGCCCCAACATGACCTCCCGACTCCTATACTCAATGCACTGACCCTTTGGAACTCCTTGCCACAGAGAGCTGTGGAAGAGAGAGCCCTTATGTATATTTCAGGCTGAGATAGATAGATAGATTCTTGATCAGTCGGGGAATTAAGGGTTATGGGGAAGAATGGGGGAACAGACACATGGGGCTGAAAGGCCTACTCCTATTCCTGTCATTTATGGTCTCAGTGCAATAGGGTGGTATGCAAAACCAGTACTGTTACATTGTTTGCACAACAGAGGGAGTTTGGGAGCACTGAAGTAGGCAGGTAGAGATTAAATGTTGTGTTCACATTTCTATGTGAGTGAGAGAGAGAGAGACTGAGAGAGAGAGACTGAGAGAGAGGAGGAAGACCAGGAATGGTTGGAAGGATGTGCTGGCAAGAACATAAATGCAGCAGGATTGGAACAGAAATGCGTAACTGATAGTGGAACATGAGGAAGGGCAATCAACCAGCAACCCCAAGTGAAATGAGAGAAATACAGCTCCTCTCAGCACCATCTCCTTTCACCCTTTTTGCAGACAACCAATGGATTGTGTCATCACTTCAGGTATCAGCCCCAAATGCCAAGTTAGTGAATTTGGTTTCACAATCTATCACAGTCCATGTAGGTGTTGAGTGGTCTGCTCCTGCAAGAACTCCTATTACCATCACCCCTTTGATCACTCCTATCTTCTACGCCATCACAGACATTGCTTTCTGTACTGTTCTCTACCTCCCAAGCTTTTCCCTGCCTTGGTACTTAATTAAAACTTGTTTACAGCTCTAATCTTTTCTGGTTCTAACAACAGGCCGAGGAACCAAAACATTTACAGCTTCTTTCTCCAGTGCCGGATCCTGACCTGCTCAGCGCTTCCAGCATTTTCTGTTTTATTTTTGACATCTGCAAAACAAAATGCAAGCAGAACCTACGCTCGAATCATGTCCTCCTGGTAGAAAATCTCCTGGACCGCGTCCTGCACTTTACCAAATTTCTCCTTCGGTTTCTCATAGACTGGCTCACGATTTGGAGGGAAAGCAGCGTAAACATCATACCAGCAAGGTTTCTCCGACTCCTTCATGACACCAGAGCGCAACAAATCCCGCACCCTACAGTTTAAAGCAAAGGCAAAGAGTTGGTGGATTTCTTCACTTATTTACCATAACAAACCGAACCGAACCCAAAGGCTGGATTTGCAAGAAAAGGTGTATTTTGCTCAGGAGCCCAGGATTTGGGAACTGGTTGCACAGAAAAGGGGAGGGGGTGAAGAGGGGTGTTCAGGTGCCGTTGAGGCACACGGCACAGGGACAGACCCTTCAGCCCAACTCGACCAGGTTACCTAAACCAAACTAGTCCCAAATGCCTGCCCGTGCTTGACCCATGTCCCTCTAAACCCTTCCTATCTATGTATCTCTCTAAAATGTTGTAATTGTACCCACATCTACCTTCCTTTAGCAATGGAGGAGGGGCAAGGGGAAGGAGGCAAAGGGGAATGGTGAGGTGATCTGAGAGTGAACGGGGGAAGGGGGTGATTGTGGGAGGGGGTGATAGTGGGAGGGGGGGAGGGGGGGAGGGGGTGAGGGCGGGAGG